TCTTGTGGGTCTCGATGACGCGACTGGTCCGCGCACTCGGTCGTGGGAGAGATCGAGTGAATTTAGGCTCCGAGTGCGTTTCTTTCTCGGTCGGCGTTCTGTCCTTGCCCCCAAGCGGACGGCCATAGAATCTGACCCCCACCCCGACCCCCATCCCTTGATTCTTCTCTCGTATCCGAGACCGACACCGAGAGCGCAAGGGCCAAAGACAATACTCGTAGGATGGAAAGATTACGACGTGAATCACCAAAACGAGAGCACCCAAACACTTTTCCAAACCTTTGGCGACGTCAAGTATGGAAACCTCGCGGTACGAGGTCACGTTATCAGATGGGAATTTCCATTCTCATTGCGGAGGCTCTCGAGTTTCTGCACTCGAAATTGCGGATGTAATATAAATACAAATAATAAGTTGTATAAATATAAAGGAAGTGGAATAATCGGTGATCAACTTCCACTACTTCTTGTTGCGTGCATTTCCTTGCACCGCGACATTCGACTACGAGGTGTTGTGGGTACAATTGTCAACAATTCTACCCACAAGAACAATTCTTCAATTGAACGAAGTCTGTTGTTCGTTTGTTGTTAATTCTTCAAACAAACAATCCAGAAACAGAACTTCTTCCAAACAAAGGAATGCAACAATCGTTGCATTTGTTTGTTTCTTGGGGAGGAGGATACTGCGACCTATCTATCTATCTATCTATCTATCCATCTATCCCAAGAACCACCTTGTGATGATTGATTGATTGAAGGAGCAATTTGATGGAGAGTCCGAGGAAGAGGAGGAGGAGGAGGGAAATCGGGAGCTGGCAACGAAGTTGTCGCGGTCACGGGCTCCAGTCATGGTCCGAGAAGGAAAATCGCGGCCGCCACGCAACAAAACGCGTAGTCGACCGACCTGCAGCTGCTACTAATCCGCGAGGTGTCGAGGAGCTGTATCCTCGGGGGCTTGTGCCCCGAAGATACAGCTGCATCACATCGTATTGTTGACCTACGAATATGGGTGCGAGAGAGAATCATTCGACTTGGATTGCACATCATCTTCCGCCGCAGGGCATTGCAGACATGCACTCCCGCTCATTCCAATGCTGCAGGAGGCTCGACAACAAACCCAAACATACGTGGTGACCTGTCTGGTTGGGCCAGCCAGCGAGATCTGTGCACTTGCACTCCTTCTTCATCATGGATCCGAGCAAGTGCAATGGCACGCAGAGAGGATCAAAGTACCATTCACATGCGCGAGCAGAGCAGAGCAGAGCAGAGCTTGGAAGATCAGAAGAGAAACATCAGACCTTCAGGACGAGATGGAGTCCTTCTCTGGGTGTGCGAAATGAGTAAACGACCATCAACTGGAGCAATTAGCCATCTGGCCAATGAATTTTAGAATGCGAGGACCGACTCCTTCGAGAGCCTCGTTTGCATGAAGAGGTTTGTGACGAAAGTGTGTTATTCAAGGTCGAGGACAGCGAACAGAGTTTGACGGTCGTTATTTGTGCAACTTCCTGACTGCTATCTGGACCTTGGGCCATCACCAACACTAGGCACTTGGAGCTGGTTTTTGTATTATCAGCTGCAGGAGCTTTGCACATTTACAAGCTCCTGAGAAATCATAGAAATACCACTTTGATCGACTGTCTATCATAGTCGATAGTCTCTATTCGTAATCATTTGCCCAACTCACTTGTACCGCTCTTTGTGATTTGGGATTGTGCACGAAATTGTGCACAAAACCATATTTCGTGCACAATCCCAAATCACAAAGAGTGGTACAAGTGAGTTGGGAACCATTTTGATCAGATAATATATCGAGACATCTTACACCATGGTGCAACACGTGGAGATGATTTCTTATCACAGGACTCTGACCATGTCAATCAGGTCTAGTCAATGTAAAACGAGTGTTTTTTGTTTTTCTCAATTTCATCTTCATCGTGCTGGATACTTGTGGAATAATCATAAACATTATGCCCACTATTCTCGGTAGAGTGAACGCATGCTGCAACCTTTGATCGCCAAAGTTTGTGACGCTTAAAAGCTAAAGCGAAGGTTTTATCAAACTTGTAACGTTCTTGGAGAAGTGCCGCAATCTTCCAATAATGCAGGTTTTACTCTTCAGTGTTTGCTAGAATGAGCGATGTAATAACTCGAGTGTTATTCCTGAGTGAGTTTCATCTTTGAACATCGGAGATAACATAGAATAAACTATAATAGACATGTTGATGGTCACGAGAATAGATGTTGATGCGAAATGAAATCATTCACTTGTCATAATGTGTAATATATGTATGTATACATATATAGGGAGCCGCTAGTTCTCACTAGTTTAGGTCTAATTAGCCTTCACTCTGCTATATGCAATTATCTGATTGGTCCATATAGAGTTTTTGGATGAATAACAATTAATTCCAAAATAGTATGTTCATCTAATCAACGAGGAAGGTGAAGACTAATTAGCCCTAAATGAATAATAACTAATCCTTCCCACATATATTATAGATAAAATCAATCTTGGTACAATCCATAAAGATATTATAAAAACTTCAACAAGAATTTTGGGTGATTGCTAAATCTCGTGAGGTGAATTCTCAAATGCTCATGCAATATGTAATTCGTCATGAGTAGATAGTAAGGATATGTCAGATGTGGTTCATAGTGATGCCAATGATTCGTGCACTCAAGACTTAATGGGTTCTTCTCTCCTGTTTTACCATACTAATTCATTGGCGTGTGATCCATGTCTCATACATGAAAATTGTGCGAAAGTTCCAGGAATATCGTGCTTTGTAGAGCTCAATTATACGATTTCAAAGAAATAATCTGACAAAAATTATGACGGGTATGGGGTCTAATAACTTTTGACACGACTTCTAGTAGTCTGGATTCCAAGTAATGAAGGTTTTACTTTAAGCCCCATAAAAATTTGACGGAAACAGACAAACTCAACATTTGTCGTAAAAAACTTTTCTATTCATTCAAATAGTTTTTTTGACAAATAATTAAATCTGAATTGGGGATATTGGCAGTAAAATACATATTATAGCTGTATGTGACGGTATGTTAAAGAGTTCACCAAGTAATCTTTCAGGATCCAATAAAGGATTATTTATATGCTTCTTGTCGAAAATGCTTAAGAGAAGTTTCAGAAGAGAATTTTGATCGAGAATCTTTTTCAGGTTCCAGTTCAAACAAAAAGGAGAAGCAGAAATGTCATAGTTGCGATGGAATGATTGCACATTTACTTCAACCATAAAAAATATGCAGGAATGTGAAACAAACCAAGGACTGCGAAACATTTATAACAAAAACCTGACGAGCCAAGAGACCTCAATGAATGATCCCCGGACCTGTAGACAAAAATAATTTGTAGCGATGCAGGCAGAAATGTGGCGGACATGAATGCAGTCAAATGGTAGATGCAAGGCTCGAGAGACGAGAAGTGAGTAAATGTGCAAGAGCTGAAGAGGAATGTGGAGGAGCCGTGGAAGGCGGGCGCAGCGGATGATGAAGAAGAAGAGCCCATTGATCATGGCGCCAGGACTCCACTCGAGTACAGACCGAACAATGTTCAAGCTCGTGACGGCTGATCGCAGCGCAGCTTGTGGCTCAGATTGCTACGCGGACTAAAATATCCGAAAAGTATATGGCTCGCGAAGAGAGTCATCAAAAGCTTGTCTGAGAAAATGAGAACATTCATTTGCGGTCGCCGCTTGGACGAATGGCAGGAAATGATATCCATCGGAATGTCGAGTATCGAGATCCAGCCTCCAAGCAGACCGGCAGGACTCAGGAGGAGCAGCAGGAGCAGCAGAAGCAGCAGCACGAGCACGAGCACGAGCAGGAGCAGGAACAAGGGAAAAAGAGCGACGAAGGCATGCCTTTCTACGAGTACGGAATTCTTAATCCTCCGGTTCCAGCATTTGGATTGCGGAGTCGCTGTAATCAATTTGAAAAGCACCTGCTAGCCGTCTAATAAGGTCAAGGAGAATATCTCATCAGCGTTGAAATAATTTGCGGCTTGTCAACTTTCGAGAGGATCTTCCATCTTTATTGTCTTCCGAAATCGAGGAGTACGTGGAAATGAATGGGCCTCGTCGAAAAGTACGTCGCACTCTTATGAGAGGCTCTTACACCTCGAGCCATGCCATGCCCATGCCCATGACGTGAACCCAATCGGTCACGCCGGTGATGCAAGCGATCGAGTTCGAGCGAAAGATGATGAATCTCATGAACGCCCCATCTAACACACATCGAAGGAACCCACCAGGCGAGGACAACTGAGTCGGGTTCGGGAAGTCGAAGTTTATTCTGCGCTCCAAGAGCGCAGGCTCATGAAACAGAAGGACTCATGGCTCCTTTTCCTCGAATCTGATCGCCGCTCACCCATCAGCGGGACCTTGGAGAGAGCGTCCAACTTTCTGAAAAAGATTAGGGTCTTTTCCATTCGTCCGCCCGCGAGTTGTGTCTCGAGGTCTTGTCCCCATAGCCTCCTGCTACGCCACTGGAAGCGGGGACCTCTTGATTGAGGGAGTCCGAAGGTCGGGCCTGCAGGTTGCGCACATTGTGGTGGCGTGTCAGATTGGATGGTTTCGAGCCTCCATGGATTAAAAGAGCTACGGGAGCTATGATTCTGACCACCCATTGATTACGAAGTTGTCTCAGACTTCCCAGTGAGAGGATGCCACAGATCACGCTCTTATGTCAGTCTTCCAGTTTTTCTTATTGAAAACTTGTGAAGATGACGACAATTTCAGGTGTCCCTTCTCCGTTAAGCATCAGATATTGCTTCTTTGTGCTACACAGCCGGGCAAGGTTGATGGGCTGTAGAATTATACATTGGGGGTTTAGTGGCTTGTACAAATCCGATGAATTCCTGATATGAAAGTAATGCATGTGTTGGGGGTCGATCCTACATCAAAAGCATGTGGGGCATAAATCGACTCGCCATTCTGTTCTGAGTGTATTAGTTCTCGTGGCGCAAAAAGACAGTGAGAATTGTTTGACATCCAGATCAAGACACATCCATGATAAGTGTGTTAATATTTCGACCCTCATGTGATAAGGGGCATATATTCTGTGACCCCGCCATGAATGACCAAGTGTGCTGGCGTAAATGTCGTCAAACTGGTCTATCTTCACCGATGACGTCCCTCGACATAGTTGGGTCTATTCCCTGACCCCCCTGATCCTCAAGAGAATTATTGCCGAAGCAAGCTCGTACTCCTCGTAACTGGCTGGACTTCACCGCACAAGGTGGCTCAGGCGAAAGCAATATCAATGCGTCGAAACTTCATTTGAAACTTTCAAATAAAGTGATCCGTTCAAGCTCACACGATGGGGAGAAAAAAAATGGACAATGAGAACAAGGGGAAAAACTAAGCCGTGAAAATATTGCACGGTACCGAAGTTGTACTCCTTCACCTTGTACTTGAAGTCTGCCTGCACTACTGATCTGCCTGCACCCTTAACACATCGACGATTAGGATTAGAATGGGCGGACCTGCAACTAGTCCAAAACTCGGGAAGTATATGATGTGGACACCTTCTCACCGAAGGCTTCCTGCAAATAACTCGAGGCCGTAATCGTTAACTGACTCACTCATCTTCGTTGTACTAGTGAATGAGTTCGCCCGTTCTACTGGAGACGAGCTTCGCTCTTCAATTGCAAGGCCCTGCATTTGTGTCCAGTATCCTCCGCGTGTAGTGAGCATTTCCTCACTGATGGAGAATGATGCTGTTGCTCCGGATTTCATGACAGCCTGTGTGAGGCTCCAGATGAAGATGCCATGCACAAAATTCTATTGTCGGAAGCAGATTTCTCCTCCGAAGATCATGATTCTATGGTATTAAAATTTGGTCAGTATGACGGCAATGGAGCCATCTCTTTCTGTATTCGTAATCTTATATCCCTATTCACTTTAGAGGAGGGAGGTACATGGTTTCAAAGCCTAAGAACTCGGCTGCGAACTGATCATCATTTTTTGCTAACATCGACTGCAGATCGCACTCTATTTGCCGATTTGCAAGCACTCTAGCTCTAGGTCTTATCTTCTTCTCCAAGGAGAAACTGAAAAATTTCGGATATTGTACCACATCCTTAATCGGCCGCTTCATTGTTTCTGTCAAAAAGTCTAGTTTGGGACTGAGAACAGATTCAGCGTTATAACCTAATAGGGGAGGAAACTTGAATACCATGCGAGAAATTTCGTGATTAGCAAAACCCCTGTTCCGCAGATAGGTCACTCTGCACAACAAAGTAACGAATGCATGCATTTAGTTTCGAAAATCCATCCTACTCTACCCAAAAGACTTTGTGTGCACAATACTCAGGACTTCGTGCGTTGTAACATCTCGCGCAGACTGTCCGCTTACCTCGGTCTCAAGGCATCGTCTACACTCATCGACAAGATCTCGGGGTAAAATTTTATGATTCGAAATAGCTTCGCAGGTTTGATACCAAGCTCCAGCAAGAAATCTACTTTTCGTTGCAGAGTGCCTTCGATATTTGCTGCGAATATTTCAGGTGCTCTTCTCAGAAGCTTGTCAATATCTTCCGGATCATAACCATACCCGTTCAAAAACGCCACCACCTGCATGGTGAAAGGCACTCAGATGAGCCAGACCGAGCCATCGCATTTGTCGTTGATTAAGTGATCACATAATTGAGGTAACGGCGAGCACAACCAGGAGGATAAAGTATTGAAATGCACTGTTTTGATGGCTGCAACACGTTCTACAGCGTAAATTCTACGCTCAAAAAACGATTTTGCAAGGCGAGTGCAGGACACTCACATCATCAAATTCCTGGGGTGTTATTGTCAGAATCTGTGGCGCCAGCGCAATAACTCGGCCCAAACGCTTACTTTTTACTCCACATTTCTCAAGATGTTGAATCATAGGAACAAGGGCAGCCCTTGACGAAAATCCCAAGAGCTGAGGACACCTAGTGATTATTCCATCGATCTTTGATTTAAGTACCTGCTCAAAAGCATGCCGTTAGCTATTATGGACGAAATCAGTTGGTTCATAAGATCGTTGCTGGTGATCGCCTACACAGGCAATAACGGAGGTAGGATGATGCGGCGAATCCTATTCATGGGAATTCAAAAGGGAACAGAGTCGTAGTAACACGCATGAAATATTTCGATAACCGTGGAACTTTGTGCTATACCTGTAAAACGTTATTCTGCCATAAACCAGAGAATTAGAACAAATGAACTTGAAAAAGCCAAAACATGTTATTTAGGCCAGCCAAAACAAAAGAGGCGTCCAAATACCTTATTTGAATCTAAAAACTTGAAAGTTTCTTCTACGTTATCTGCCACAGATTGACTCAAAAGCCAAGGATATTTTAAAATCATTCGTCCATAGTTTCGTGCAGCCACACCGACCTGCGAGAAATCGCAGAGTTGTAAGAGATTGAAAGATGCATATGCAGAAAGCACCGCCCACCGGCATCTACAAGGATCTCAGGCGGAAGGAAACCACACGATTTGCAGCATGAGATGTTTTCAGTGAAGAGAAAAGCAGAAACGTGAACCATGGCTTTCCAGTCCATGGATGCAGAAAAGGTATGCAACAACACCTTTTTGAGCTCTTTCATTCTTGGTCGCAGTTCGGCTGTAACGTCCTTTAACAACAATGGAGGGAAGCATAAAATGACACGTCCGAGTTTTTCCCTTGGTACGCCATACTCTTCCAGGAGATGAACTGCAGGTTTAATCTCATTCACCAAGTCCCTAGTAAATATTTGAGGGAATGAATCAATTAGCTGCAGGAGGGCATAAGGCGCTTCCTTCAAGGCACCCAGTCCTCGCCGAGCTTCTAGCTGATGCGACAATCATAGAAGAGACAAAGGGTCAGCATCCACCAGTGCAGCACAATTACAAAAACTGCAATGCATTGCCATTTCGTAGAGAATGAACATCTGATGAACTTGAAAATCACCGTGCAGGGAAGAAAACCTTTTCATAGAATGATAGGGTTCGTTGAAGTTCTTCATCTGGACTCAAGGATAGGTTTTTCATCATATGCCGCATAAGGTCATCCACTGGTCTACCGTCATGCACGGTTGATTTTAATAGTTCTTCGATGTACTCAATCTGCTTAGTCACAAGAGGCAGATGTTATAAGGGACACACAGAAAGAGGATTATGCTTAGTTTGTTCAAATACTACTTCGTAACTCATTCGGAAATGTCATGATCCTTATGAGTCGTCAGTTCAGTGAAATTCATCCAGACATCCTCATCTGATTTGATAGCTCCTGTCACTATAATTAAGTTCGAGCTGTTCATGCCAAGGTCTCTTCTCTAGACTGCGTTACGTTCAATTTTCTACTGAAAGTAGAACAGAATCCGAAAAAAAAAACTGGGATGTGTGAGTCCACGCTGCATCTGTTGCAAAGGCCACTGCAAAGAGAGAAAAACCTTTCGCATGACATCAGGAAGCCGTTGCGAAGAAAGCGTATGCGTAATCCTCGGAACGCTGGGCAGACTCACACCTAAGCTTTCCAGCAATGGAGCAAATCCGTTCGATTTGGAAGCCAGCTGCTGCAAACGAGCCTTCGAGTCATTAGACAAGGATTCTTCTAGCGATGACTTTCCGACTTTTCTCGACGCTGTGAATTGCAACTGTTCTAAATCCTCCAGTTCTTGCTCCAAATCCTTGTAAGTTCGAACGAGATCAGCCAAAAATCCTGGTGCAGCCGACACTATCGTCGACGCCTTCTCTTCTGATAGCCCAGCTGCCAACAGTACATTGACGACGGCTGCCCGAGCTTCCACCTGTAATTCACTATCTATATCCCCTGTTTCATCATCACCAGCAGCACCAACAGCTGCTGCTGCTGTCAGAAAGCAGGTGCCTCTCGCTCTATCCAGAAAAATGTCTCCGCTTCTCAAATCATGAAATATTCCTGATCTGATCCTCCCTCGCACTCGACCGCTCCTCGAAGCAATCGAACAAGCAACTATGGGAGAAGAGCCACAAGCCAAATCCTTGAACTGGTTCGACTGTATACCCACAAGAGGTGCCCCCATTCTCGTAGACGCCATCCTCGGCTCTAAACTCGAGGGGCATTCTGCCGACGGACACACGCACGGACGGTGTGCCCAAAATTCGATCTTCCAACTGGCCATTTCTCACGACCTCCAGCGCGAAGAACCGAGAAAAATCTTGTCGTCAATCCGTATCACCACTTTCATCGCTCGCACCTTCGTCTTCCTCTGCTCGTCGACCCCGCAGCCACACGGCCATCCTTTCTTCACCAGCACCTACCGAGAAAACGTGAACCTCGGGTCGAGAAGAAGCACGACCCGAATGAAAGAATCATGCCCCGAGCCACTGCAACAGCTCCCCCTAATCCACAATTCGCATTCTACACTGCGACAGCGCCTGAACCCAAAATCCGCAACAGCGCCATCGATCCTGCGCGAAAGAGGAGAGCGATGTCGCCGCGAGGAGCGTGGCGTCAGCTGCAAGCAGCCTCTTCCGCGGAAACGACAAACGGTCAAGCTCTGCGGAACGGGGGTTTAGACGCTCTCCGCTTAAACCTCGATCCGGTCCGCGGTCGACGGTTGGGACGGGAAAGAAGACAAGAATTGCGAGTCTCGGGAGCGGGACATGTCACAGTCGGTCGTCATCATCGAGGAGCCACGACGAGAGTGGATCCGTCAGAGCAAGGTTGCTGTGAGTGAGTTCAGCAGGTTTTCTAGTTTTAGGGTTGTAGTACATTCTCCTTACATCTGAGAGACAAAGGTCGACACTCGAATGGAAATGCATTCATTCATTCATTCATTCATTCATTCAATGTGATGGTTGAATTCTCTTGAAATGGGAAAAGAGGAGGAGGAGAAGAATGTCCAAGGTGCGATCGTCGTGCATGACAAGGACGATCGCTCCCGGAAGAGGAAGCTGCTGGATGCATCATCGGGAGCAGCTTGGGGAGCCAACTCGTACTCTGTTGCTAAAATCAACTCCTTCAAAGAGAGCGCGAATGATCCTGGCTTTGACGATTTTGGCAGGTACAAGTGGCCACTTTGAGATATCCAGTTGTATTACTCTTTCTCTCATGTTTGCATAATTCACTTATGAATATTGCTGCTCGTGCTGCATGGAAGGCAGAAAGAGGATTTTCACTTTAGCAGTTTTTCTTTCAAGGGGATTTTTCGTTGGTTCAAAACACATGAATTGAATCCATGCCTACAACCTGATTTTATAAAGGAATAATCTTACTTCGTGGAACAGGAGTATCTTACTTTTGGTTGATGTTACCTGAAGCTGCATTGTTTATGCCTCGAGGCACAGCTCTTGCTGTTGGAGTAGTAGTGATATTTTCTATATATGTCAAATGCCTGGTGACCAGCAGGTGTCGTGCGAGAAGTATTGGTCTCAGAGATAACTGAATATATTGCTTTGATCACCATCAATGTGCCGTGTAACAGGTACTTTGCAGAGAAGCAACGCAAGTTGAGGGAGCAATATCATGCAGATTCCTCTAGTAAAGCTTTAAGGTTTGATCTACTATCCACTCAAGGATGCTGCCAGTGTTATTCAGCTCAAAGCTTTGAAACTCTTTTGCACTCTACTCGCTCTCTAGACTCATGTACAAGAGCCTACTTTCTCCAACTGACGTCCTGGATTGATCATGAAACATGCAGAGATGCAGCAGCGGCAGCTGCTGCTCAGCACAGTGATCATAAAGCTGGTAGTTCCTCTGAGATGGTTTCTGCGAAATCAAACACCATATTTCAAGGAGTGTCTATATTTGTCGATGGATTTACTACTCCCACACATCAGGTTGGACCTCATCGAAGTTCTTACCTGCCTATTTCCAGCGTGCAAGTTTCTTCTTTTTCTAACATTCAATGAATGTCAGGCTTTTTCTTATCGAGATTATTGAAACACTATCCTCTTGATCTTGTAGGAACTGAGATTCATCATGATGAATAATGGAGGAATCTTTGAGAACTACTTTTCAAGGCAGCGAGTCACTCACATCATTTGCAGCACTCTTCCGGACAATAAGATTATGAATCCAAGGTTGTCCTGATCTACTTTCTCACTCAAGTTTCTATACCTTGACACACCTCTGCCTCCCTGGTTGCTGTATGGATCCATCCTCTGTAAAGACAGAGCGTGGACGAAGAAAATTCTTAGGTCCGAGAACCGTAGAATGTAATGCCAAAATACTCGTCAGAGTGAAGTTCCACACTGATTCTGAATCCTCTTTCGGTTTGGGTTGTAGGATGCTTAGTAGAGGGTTGCCAATCGTTAAGCCGGAGTGGATTGTCGAGAGTATGAATGCGAACAAACTACTTCCTTGTAAGTTCCGTCTCTTCCCTTGACAGATAGTATTCTGATTTATCATACATCGTATCTGATACCTCTGTTTCTCACTTAAATCTCCTGTTATCGTTCATACATCTTGAAGTGCAGGACTTTGTAAACACAATTAGTTTCACATGTTTCATGCAACGTATGTTCTATCACTTTCTGTTGTGTCGAACTCTGACCTTCGGGTACAAATGGACGTTTAGGGGAGAACTACCAGCTTGAACGAATCGCGTATGCTCACCCCGGCCAACAAACAATTGCTGCCAGATTTGCTGCTTATAGAGAAGCTTCTCCATCCACAAATGCGCTCGTTTCTGTTGATTCAGAAACTGCCTTCCAAGTTGGTTCCATGGAGGGTTCAGTTCATTCTGTTGCCAAGGTTGGGCCCGTAGATACTTTGGCATTACAAAATGAGAGAGCTGGCAAGTCATCTGAACCCGATGGTTTCAGTACCGTGCAAATCGAATCCCAAGAGAAGCTCCAAATATTGCCTGAGAATTACAAAGCACCGGTGTGCCTTGATATGGTGCCTTTCGTGCCCTCAGACAGTGCCCAGGAAAAGATCAAAGAAGATACTGAGGCAGATAACTCAGCTCTAAACATTGCGAATGACGTCCATGCCCTTGAAGCAAATCATCTGGGTAAAAATGACCACCAAAAGCTTGCTTCAGGAGAGTTCGTTAACCGGCCCTTTCGTTCTTCTCTGAGTGACACAGACTTCGTGAAAAACTTTTTCAAGGCAAGCTCCTTTTTGAATACTCTGAGTGGCTTCTGCTTGATGCACTGCAGATCTAAACATGCCTGTGTTTTTTCATAGTCTAACTCTCGAGCAGTAATGATCTTTTATTACGATGATGCAGTTTTCCAGGCTCCACTTCATAGGAACCTGGCGAAACAGATATCAAACTCTAGCAAGCAGTTTTGGGAAGGACGGAGCAGTGAAGAGTAAAGATCGTGAATTGATGGAGGCAAATCTTGATGGAAAACCCATGATTATTCATCTAGATATGGTTTACATCTTATCTTTCGTAATCCAAGAAATGTTTTTTTGTTGGAGCATTGCTAGTTTCAGCTTATGTGGCTAGAATAATGATCAGGCTTATAATGGTCACAATTTCTGGTCTATCAGGACTGATTGGGATCGGAACCTATAGGACATATGGAGGCTTATATGTAAACTGGCTTGTTCTTGAAATATAAGCTTCATATCCGTGAAAATATGGCGAAGCGTTCAACCTTACAGTAATGTGTGTCTACATGGCAGGATTGCTTCTTCGTATCAGTGGTGGTCAGGAACCGCCCAGATTTAGTTGGAAAGCCAGTTGCTGTTTGCCACTCTGACAGCGAAAAAGGAACCGCAGAAATTTCTTCGGCAAATTATCCTGCAAGGTCCTTTGGTAAGTTCCTTACAAGGACTTCAACGAATGTTACTATAACAGTCTCTCTAACTTAAATTCCCATCCTGGATAGTGTCTTCGGAAATCTGCTATTTTTACTCGTTGAGAGTTGTACTTCTGTGATGGAAATCAGGAATCAAAGCAGGAATGTACGTTCGAAGTGCGAAGGCACTTTGCCCGGACTTGAAGATTGTGTCCTATGATTTCGCGGGATATGAAGAGGTATTGAGTTCTACTTCCTTTTGTCATCTCTTTCGTCTTCCTCTACATTATCTGCTTCCTACTTGGATCTGATGGCAACCAAATACGCTCATCTTGCCTTGCTTCCCGGTGGGATGCTATATCATCTAGTACGTGCTCATAGCAAAGGTGTGAGAATGTACTACAAAAGTACTGGCTTTCATGCGTCTATAAAGCAGTTGCTTATTAAAGACAGTGATAAGAAAGGGTTATCATAAGTTTGTGATGTGCTACGAACATCATATCATATCTGAACAGTGTTGTAAACTGATCTTGGAAATTAAGCTTACAGCTTCACTTCTTAATGAATTTTGTAACCGTGAACAGGTTGCTGATAAAGTTTATAACATTTTGCATCGACATTGCACGAAGGTGGAGGTGAGTCACTAAACTTTGCACGTTTTCGCTCATGTTAGTGGTATATTTGTATCGGAGTTTTTGTTATCTGCTACACGCGAGTTAATATTTCGTGAGATATTATGCAGGCCGTCAGCTGTGACGAAGCGTTTCTGGACGTCACCGGCCATCCAGATCCTATTGATCTAGCTTCAAGAATTAGAGAGGAAATATATGCAGCAACTCGATGCTCTGCTAGTGCCGGCATTGCTGAAAATCTTCTCCTGGCTCGACTAGCCACAAAGAGGGCTAAACCAAATGGCCAGTTCGCAATCAAGTCGGAGGAGGTTTGATTACAACACTCACCATTTATTTTCTTTTTGAATGTCAGCTCCAATGCAGCCGAGTAAAGAGTTCGGCTTCTTGTAAGAATAAGTCTGCGGGGATCCAAGAGGACCATGGGACATACGCACACAAGCTGTCGAACTCTCTTATCTTCACAAGTACTTCAAAGTTCGACTATGTAAGAGTTGAATGCTTCTCTCTGTAATTAACATTTGTTTGACTGCTTCTTGATATCCTTTGATGTTCTCAGGTACGACAATTCATGGCTGCTCTTCCCGTTGATGAGCTTCCAGGAGTTGGTTGGGCTCTTCAGGAGAAACTCCATAGTAAGAAATTGTACACTTGCGCTGACCTGCTCTCTATCTCAAAGGTAACAAATTTCTAGAATCGGACTGAAACATTTTAGTGATCTCGCTAAGCATACTGTGCTCATGTTTTGACCGTTTGCCAATCAGGAAACTCTACAAAAGCAGTATGGCACCAAAACAGGCAACATGCTTTGGTGTTATGCTCAAGGCATCGATGACCGGGAGGTCCAGCCTGCGCAAGTATGTTCTGCTCTATTTACAGTTTCATTTTTTAACTCGTCCTAATAATTCCAGGTTGGGATAGAATTTCTCACAGAAAAATATACGGGTTGAGAAACTACTCAAGGCAAACAAAGGACTTCTTGTATTCTTCTGTCACTATTTCTGATAAGCTGCAGCCTTTTTACGGTTTTCCTCAACTTTCTACTGCGGCACTACCCGACCATTGCACTCATTTCGCATGCATATTCTTCTCCTTGGTTATCTGGTATCAATTGAGCTACATCCGACCACAAATAAAGTGTCCCCTCTCTTCTATTCTTACATAAGAAGGAAACAACCCTAATTCATTGTCTAGTTCATTCTGCTCTGAAGTATACAATTTTCTTACACTCTTCATTACTCTTTGGTCTTCGATGCAAACTACTATTCTTTTATAAGATCTGCGTATGCTACTGGCTAGAATTTCCACATACGTAAGGGCAAAGGATCTGTCCATTTTCACAGAGGATTTGTCCTTGGTCACTTAATCTGCCTTTTTTTGCACCAAAATATTACAATGAACTCATGTCCGTTCTCATCAATTTTGCTTAAGCACTATGAAGTGCCAACAGTTGATTCTGGTTTTTGTTGAGAATGTTTAATTGTAGGAGCGAAAGTCCATCGGAGCTGAAGTGAATTGGGGTGTTCGCTTCGAGTGCATGGATGATGTAAGATTAGTTTTGTCACTTTGATTTTTATTCCTTCTAACTACCTGCAATAGGGTCATAAATATTTCCAAAGTGACGAACTTTGCCCAGTTTATGTTGATTTTACAGCAGCATGATTTTCTTGCACTTCCGTTCAGGGTAACACATCTATTGTAGACTGTGATCAGAAGAAATAACTTTTTTTGAACTTGTTCATGTTCCTCTTCTTCTTAGGCACAAAAATTTTTGGTAACTTTGAGTAATGAAGTGGCCAGCCGATTACAGAGTGCTGGTAGTTGTGGTCGGACAATTACTCTTAAGGTGATGTAATCAGCCTTGAATATTTCGCTCACATTTTTTTGTTGTTGTGAGATTGCGTACCTTCGTGTTGATCCTGGCTATTTTTTATCGTCCATCCATTTCATTGGCTTGACTCTTATCTCGAAGGGTTATCCCTTACAAATTTTTTGTAATGTCAAACTCTACCCGTGGTTCATTTGGAGTAGTTTACTAAAATACACAAAATAATTTTCCTCGATAGATCAAGAAGCGAAGAGAGGGAGCTGGAGAACCTGCGAAGTATCTTGGTCATGGGATTTGCGACAGCCTCAGTCGCAGTGAGACGGTATGTAGTTTTTTCCTTGTAACGAGTTTCACTCTTATATAGTCCTCTCTGCATTTTCTCCTCCGTCTTGATCTCCTCTCATGTCTTCTCAGTCACTTGTTACCAGCACCGCTCAGCCAGGTCTGGAGTCTGTGGCCTTCATCCAATGATAGGTAAAGGCTACCGAGAAGAGTTGTAACGAGTTTGAAGTTGTTGTTACTCTGAATAAGTGAATGTCAATTGGAAATGGAACCTAAATCGAATCTGACTGTTTCTGAGACGTGTACGTAAAAAGCAGGTTGGACACCCTACCAATAGTGCTGAAATCTTGTTGAGAATCGGCCGACAACTCTATGCATCGCTGCACATAGGTTTGACTCAACTGTCTACACTGATGTTTTCCATGAAAACAAGTCGTCTAATACCCTGTTCAATTTGATCAAGTCGGCATTCTTGTGAGAAGCGGCACACAAGTAGTGCCAGCAGCGGCATATCTCTCAACATCTCTTTGGGGCTCTATTGGTGTTCTTTCTAGGCCAAAGACCTACCTTCAAAGAGATAGGCACAGTAGCATCTACTGCATGCAAGGATTAACATTTATTGCTCATTGAGAAATCATGCTCCGATCTTTGTATAACCTACCTGTAAATAAGATAGGGCTAATTTCGCTTTCTTATGCACTGTAGATCCTGAAGATGTTCGTGGAATGGGCCTTCAAGTTTCTAGGCTGGAATCTGTAAATGCAGGCATGTATCAACAAAGCGAGTGCTTAGTCACCTATAATACAATCAGGGATATCGGTTGCAGATACTTTTTTTTCCCGTAATCTTTGCGAATAATTTTCAGCTTTCACTCTTCCTAAACAGGCTATAACACGGTCAACTTGAGCTCAGAACAACTTGCTTTTAGACTCTGTATCAGCAAAAAGGCCATTGAGCAGAAACTTCAAGAGTATACTCGAGGTGAACAGTCTTGCGTGACGTCGTTTCTCTCCTTTGTGGTACAGGTAATCGGAAGAAACACTCGGCATTAGACTCGTGGTTAGCACCACCCAACAGGCTTCAACCAGAAAAGGAGATCCTCAACCGCAGCGTTGTCCTTGATAAAGAGATAACCAAACTTGACACTTCGCTGGCTCGTTCAGGCCCTTTACAGAAAGGTAATAAGTTCTACTTATGGCTGAAATCAATTTCTGGTGTCTGAGATAGTAAACTGAACTATGAAGAAGTGTAGTTCTTGATTAGATTTTGAAGCTATGTGGAACGAATTTCGTTCAGAACTTCCAGTGCCGGACCAGGCATTGCCCTTGAGGATAGCACCACTTTCTATGCGTCCTGAAGCGAACGAGGTGAAACACGAGGAAACTTACGAATCGAAACCTGTGAGAGAAAAAGAGTCGGAGCAAAGGTGTTTACCAAATACTGCAGCACATGCCGCACCTTCAGAAGGTATGTTGCAGTTACTCGTAGGAGGTTCAAATCGAAAAGCGTATATAGAGTTGGCACATACATGACGTTCAATTTCTTAATTAGCTGTGAAAATTTCTCTCTGTAACTAGGATGAATCGTGTACACGTTGTTATTCTCTATATCAGATAACTGAAAAGATACCTTTGGTCTTGACATTTTTCTTTTGAAATGTTACGCTTTCCTTGCGCGCTACAAATATTGAAAGTGCTTCATTTACAACATATCCTTGCTCAAGAGCGGTTGACAACGTAGAGGCCCTCTTGAAGATCTATTATTAAGATTATAATTTGATGTTTTGAACTTTGTTGCGTCAATTTATCAGTTTGTCTAGATGCATCACCGTCAGTGTATGTGATCTCTATAGACTGTCCTTGGTTAGCCATAGCTTTCTAACACTCCTCTTTTGTTTTAGCAATATATACAGATGTCATGGCTCACACTTGTACTTGAACTTGAGATTTTGACATGAAAAACCAATTTTAAGGTGGCTAATAGCTGCCTAACTGGTCTTAAGATCAGTAGTTACATGTGGTAAACGTTGTTAATTAACTTTTACTCTCTAGAATTTACTATTCTACTGCTAAATACATAGAAGAACTGACTAGGAGATTAACTATTACATCATGATGCGTTTGCTTCTCCTGCACAGATTTACTCATGGGACATTTATGAAATTTGCTTCAGCTCGTGAAGTTTACTCAGACTTGAATAGTACTGTGAAAATCTATAATCTGTATAGAAATCTCCTTTGGAACGCAATTCGATTACATTGTCTGCATGAAGGAAATTTGAGGATGTACTTCAAAAAATTGTGTAAATAAGCATCGGGTCTATTTCGAATGCAGAAAGGAGAACTGTCCAGCAGGTGTTGCATGGGAAAGAACACAAGGTCATCAAGCTACAAACACCTCCAAAGGGCCAGAGACAAAAAATCAGTCCACTGTCTAAAAAAGGTAAAGGCAAGAGCATCGCCAACAAGTCAAAACGTTCACCCTTGAACTCCGGGCTAGAGCTACAACCAGTATCTCGACTTCCGACCCATCCAAAAGCTGCTCGGAAAGTTTCATTTGCTGGAGTTGAGCACGGTGATGCATCAGGCCGAAAACCTGTCACCCCAGAGCCACAACCAGTGCAAGATACCCAGCACGCCTACTATTCAGCTTCTGGACAATCCGTTAAAAAGTCTGATCTGGTCGATCATAGTTTCGTTCAACAGATTCTAGATTGGGTAAGCACAACAAATACTACTCGCGGGCTTTCATCTCATCTGCTGTCTTCGCGCTGCTACCTGCCAGTGAGTGAAAGTGCAGATACAACAGGTTTGGAGAAGCTTATTCACCAGTGCGTGAAGCTCTTGACACAGTACATAAGGACTACGGCATCTGGAAATCTTGAAGAAGTACACCTTAGTCTTCTCTATATGAAGAGGTAATGGAATCTATTCTCAAATGCTTTTTTCTTAAACTTCAAACCTCATGGTCCGGCCCTCTGGTTGTAAGATACAAGGGCCCATGGAATAAGGTTCTGAAGCTCAGTGTGTTCCAGACGCATTCCATCATCATGCTCGTAATTGTAGTAGACTAAGTATTGTTAACAAAGTGACAAAGTTCTGTGAGGCTAAAGTTTATTTTGAAAGGACGCAGGCTCGGAGGCAGGTGCAAATTGTGGAGAGCTGTGGAAGAAGTGGCCAGACCTGCTTTCAAAGTATGACATCACCTCTGTTTTTGTGCGTCAGCTTCGTAGAAATGTCACGGTGGAAGATCTGACGATGTTGCTGTCTGCAGGACATTGTCGCTGAGCTGTATGGAGGAAAACTAGCGATATCATAGCTAATTTTCACCACCTTGTGGAGCAGACATTTAAAAATCTATGTGTCTAATACATTGGTGATGAGCAATCCACTTCCTCCAAACAACAGTCCGTGAAAGTGGTCCTCGGCGCCAACATTTCATTGTATATTTTGTTCAGGGCAGATTAAATGATAGATTTATCTCGTGAAAGTTGAGGTTCCTAATCATACAAGAGAATATAGGAGCCAGAAATTATTATTCGTTCCAATGAAAATCCGTGAGTTGATGAAACTGGGCTTCAAACCCAGTTTCATAAAGTCATTGGGTTTCCTCAAGGGACAATGTAGCGATAGCATTGGTCGCACTCGTCAACCTAGTGATGAACGATTCGTAGCTATCTTGCTAAAGTCAAATTATAGGTGATGATGGTTTCACCTTATTACCATGTATCCATGTATCTGCTAGGACTCATATATATGTCAAACTAATCCAAAGCCTGTGAAAGCAGGATTACGCTACAAGTGTTGTTGTCTCCCATGTTCAACCTTGCGAGCTTCTGGTTCCCGTTCGCACTGTTCATCATTCATGATCTCCCGGTGTTTGGGCATATCAGTTCCAGGCTCGAAGCCATTGTATTGTCAATTTTCTCACCTTTTCATGACCTCCCGGTGTTTGGGCATATCGGTTCCAGGCTCGAAACTACTGTATCGTCAATTTTCTCATCTTTTCATGACCATTTACGCTTAAATTGCGCAGAATGGTCATGAAAAGACGAGAAAATTGACACAATTCAAGCTCAACTTATGTTGGGATTTCGGGCACTTCGTTTCCACGACGACAAAACGTTTACTTCAGCGAGCAACAATGTTGACAACACTTGCCACTTCAGAGGAAAAGGCTAGTGCTGTCAACACTGAAAGAGGATTGCTTGGAAGATTCCATGTCTTCCATTTGGCCCCTTGAAAGGAAGAATCTAGTGCTGTCAACACTAAAAGAAGATTGATTTGAAGAAATGGAGTCTTTTGTTCGACGTTTATTCGTTGCAGGACGCATGCACTAGCCCCTTCAAAGGAAGTAACTAGTGCTGTCAACACTAGAAGAAGATTGCTTGGAAGAAATGGAATCTTTTGTTCGACATTTATCCGTTGCAGGACGTCAGCACTAGCCTCTTCAAAGGAAGAATCTAGTGCCGTCAACACTAAAAGAAGATTGCTCGGAAGGAATGGAATCTTTTTTCGACGTTTATCAGTTGACTGTCCTTGTCTCTACCCCACTTGTCTACATTCGGATGTTGAAATAAACCATGCTCTTCATATACTCACCGAAGGCACGATCTTTTACATTTTCAGCACAAAAACTAGATTTGAGTCTGCACAGAGAGGAGTTTATCGAGAGTACAGACAGTGTGTTCATGCTGAATAGAAGCATGTCTAAAACATAGCAGCATATGTTCACTGTACTCATCCAGCCATAAGGCTAGACTTTGCGTTCTATCCGAATCGGCGGGCCCTTTCTCAGGAGGTGCTCAGTGTTGGCTAAGTTAAGTTCGATTCGTGCCAGCTGTGTCCTCACAAAAATCAGTAGAGGGAGCTTATCACATCATCGCAAAACTTCCTTCGCCCCCAGACCGATTCTTTCCGATGAGTTTAGACGCATCAGATTGGCCAAAAATGTGCCGCAGATGCCAAAGCATCTGGAGGAGCTGGATTAATTTGACTAACCAAGACTTTTTCCACACCTAAAAGGCACGGACCGCCTAAACAATTCTTACTACTGCCTCGTCTCAGACATCCAAGGAAGGATAAAACCGCATCAATTCTCAAGCCCGGCGAGGCGAAAACTCTAGGGCGGCCACTGCGAATGTTTGAGAAACAAGCCTTCAGTGTATCATCACAGACGAGGAAATACTTCCAGTGAAAACAACAAAAACCATCACCTATACAGACTCGACTGCTATGAACCCTCAAAACCCCATAACGACTCGATTATTCAGACCTCAAACGACATTGAATCCGAAAACTGTACTTCATCTTGCGAAGGTGGAAGCGTTCACCCGTTCATCACGTATCTGTGCTAGGCACAAGCAAACATTCCCCAGGCGCACAGCAGAACTCCCAACACTTGTTTGCGAAGGGATATCGCCACACAGACGACAGCATGAAACTCTGAGGAGTGTGAGGCCATGCCAAGCACGACAGATACAAGACAGATACACTTCTCACAACCTCTCACTTCCGCTCGACTTACTATACGACTCGATACGCAGCACAAGGACTTCCACATAATGCAAGTTTTTGAACAAAGTGAGACTCGAAGCTGTAGAGATGTGGGCATTCAGCATCACACTTCGCAGGCCAAGGAGAGAGCCAAGGCTCAGTGTGCAATGAGATGATCTGTGAGGTGCAAGTTTCCGCTGCCTTTCTATATAAGTAAGATTCAGAAGCGCAACCAAGGTCAGCCGAAGTTTCCAGACAAGGGTTAGGTCATGGGTTTGTTCACGAGTTTGTTTGTGCATCGCTACAATAGTCTACAGTCATGGGCATTCGCTGGGCTCCTCGCGACTCTTTAATAGCTTTAATTGGAATTTATCCGCTGGCTCTCTCTTCTTCTACTTACACTACCACACCGTCTTCTCACTTAGTTTAAAGATAGAATCATATGATTTATAAGGAGTTGCACAATTGTTAAGCAACAAATATCCAGATCAGTGATCAGATTTACTGTTAATTAGACTAGCTTAAAGAAGAGACAGACAATATATCTAAATGGATGGACAAGAAATTGTCCTATGCTTATCTGCATTACTCCTTTCAAGAAGTTTTAAAATTTTGGCCGAATCGTCATTTCACCCCAACCCAAGCCTGCCTCTTTAAAATTTAGCGAAACATGTGTCTCCTAAATTTTCCTACAAAACTATAAAAAACCTTCAGGATACCCTGATGTATTAGAGAAGAATTCCATTCATAATTTTTTCCAAAATATACTTTCACGTAATATCAAAAAAAAATTAATTTTTCATCAGTCTAATCCAAGTAGATATACAGGGTCACGTTTGGATCTGAAATTGATCCCTATAATAGTGATTCCCCTTTTTGATTATATGAACACTTGGAGAAATGGAACACACCAATTTTTTTACATTCAAGACACAAGACTTACATGTCGCCCTTGAATGAGCATATTATATTTCGCGTACACGCTACACACATGATTGTATGCTTCTCACTTGTCACTAAGAGAGTACGCGTAATCTAGTCTATATGATACGCATGACACAAGACTGTAATAAGCCAAACAAAACCTCTTTTATTTGTTCATAAACTTGTGTATATGATTCAAACTAAAAATATCCATGACAGCATGAAACTTCAATTTGCTGATTGAAAGACTCTTTTCGGAATTAGTTAGGATTATCTATTTCTGCACATGCATAAATATTATACCTTCTTCTTTCATGTAGTTTGTATATAGCTGTTCCATTCTTTCATGTTTAAAAATTTATTATGATATCTGAATATAGGTAACAATAAAATCTAAGTTTGAAAATTTTAAGATATAAAGACGTGATTTTTTTCCGAACATCTTTATTTAAATAAATTTATACATAATCGGCAAAAAGATACTGTACGTTTCACATCAATCTTCAAATATACAACAAGAGTGGTCCCTCCATAATCTTGAAGCCATAACAGTATTACACAAGTAGGAGCCCCCACACCTCTAGACACAGTATCTTCTATAGCACCTATTATTCACACAGAAAAAAACCGGAGATTCCGAGGAAAAATATGAACCCATGCAATATTTTAAGCCGCAAATCTAATCACCACATTTAATATCATTAGTCCATCCGTCAACTGCGGTTGTAGCAGTTGAAGGATGGCGTCCCTTCTGTTCCATGAGTAGGCTTCTTTCTCTAGCGTCGGGCAGCGAATTGTCCATCCGATCGGATATCTGGCAGCAATCCATGTTTTCTCTACAGCGATACTTGTCGACTGTCATTGCAGTAAGTGAAGTTGAGCTTATGTGCAACACTTTCAGAGAAATTTGTCCCCGAGGCAGTTCGATGTTGGCCCTGCTTCCACTGTGCATGACACCTGCTGACAATGCTCCACACGTTGGTATAAAATCTCCTACGGAATGAAATCTAATGCATGGAGTGTAGTTTTTGAAAGTGACAGTTTTCATAAGTCATAGAATGATACTTTTTCTTAATGTAAGGCTACAGTATTTGGATTCTCAGATTTCAATAGATATAAGATTTTAATCTTAATGCAGTAAGTACTTGATGAGCTCATGCACTTTTCAATGGCGTTCTGGTGGCGCACATCCGTTTATCATGCTATAAACGTATACTGTCTAAAACACCACAAAAACTTTACTCGTAAAGGCGACGTGGAAGCACAAGTGAAGAAAGTTCTTATTCCTGAACTTCTTTTACTTCAAAACAGCTTCAATCTGAAGAGAAAAAAGTTTTATATTAATGTGATTACCTTCTGTTACTAATATTAGAAACTATTACTTATACATTATTCGGACAATCAGATCAAAACATTAATTAGAAAAAACTTGGAAATTTTATTCCAAGTTTTATTGTGTTATTTTATATTTTATAATTTTATTGTGTCGTCAATATACGACTGGACTGTCAATGGAATGTAACCAATTAGAGAAGCTATGGGTCAATCGACGCCAGATAAACAGATTTGTAGGCTTTTTAAATACAGTTACCGAATAAGGTATGTAGATCCATGTAGATCCATGGAGATATTAACATGGATATAACAGTTTCAAGCACCTCAGGAAAAAAAAATACCAAAAAAATAGACTATTTGAACTCAAGAAGCTCAGACCTCAGTTTACTGTACTTAGCTGATAGTAAAGAAGTTGAAGCAATCTTTGTGGAAGACGATGCACCAAGAGGATCTTGAGGATCAATTTTGCAATTGTTGAGATGAGATCTCATGTGACTCAACCAAAAGATGAGATTTATAAGTCGTCTGTAATTTCTCGAAGGTGAAAAGCTGAGCTCTTCAAGAAAAAAAAAATTCCAAGAATCAAGAAATGAAAATGACCGGACACTGCGAATACAGTAATTATTCGATGGTCAGGAAGGTATCTTCGAGAATTGAAGAATAAACCATCTCTAAAACTTTCACGATCATACAATACAGGATGAGTCATACTATGTATCTATAATACACTCCAAACAACCTGTTTCAGGCATTTGCCATCGAAAAACGTTATAGTTGCGTGGATTTTCTTTACAAAATTGCATCAAAAGTAAGATATCTTCAAAGACAACGTGTTGACCTGGATCCAGTGTTGTACCCATTAATCATGTGTAGCTTATTTGTGTCTTCACACTTGAAAACTGTAAAGACCAAAAAGTGTAGTATTTAAATCTAATGTGTTTGGAAAATGGTATACCATCAATACCAAATGTAAACAATTTGAAGATATACATGATAATTCACTATTTATCGAAAGAAAGAAAGTGAATTTCAGGAGTGAAG